TTTATAAGAAATAATGAATTACACCAATTAGTAATAAAAATTATATAATTATAATATTATTATAATTAAATTATAATAGTTTTATTTATTAAAAAATTAAAATTGATCTTCATATGATTTCTAGACATCAATCTATAAAAAAATTATTAATATTGTATAATCTTTTTATCTCTATTATTAAATTTTTGTTTCAAATATTTTTTATAATTTCCAATATTCAAGTGGTTTGGTTCAAACATATATAATATATAAGATATCTTCAGAAGATCAATTATATTGATCAAAAGAAATACAAAAGTTGATATGTAAAAATATTATATATTTTTAATATATTATAAATAATTTAAGTTTGTGTTACATGTATTATTATATTTATGTTAATTAAATAAAATGAAGTGAAAATAAAACAAAATGATAATGTAACAAAAATAGAGTATAGTGGTATAATGTCTTTTTTGTCATCTTTTCACTTCATCTAACACAAACTCAAATTACTTATGCTTATTACTTAATAAATAAACTTCAACTGACATTTTTTATATCAACTTTTGCATTTGTTTTGTCTTTTAAAATTAATTCTTCAATAAATATATTAGTTTATATATGTAATTTTATATAATAATATAAATATATTTTTAATATTGTATTATTTAAAAATCAATTTAAAAATCAATAAATTTACCTTAAAATCTGTAATATTACGTAATAAATCTCCAATTTTTTCAGGTTGTCTTTCAATTTGCTTTTTCTCTAAAATCTCCCTAAAGATATTCAAATTCATTTCTCTAGAAGACATTAACAAAGTGTTACATATATGTTTCACACAAGTTGAAGCAACTCGCTCAGATACAAAATCAACAGTTTTTCGTGTAGATGCTGGTTGTCCACCAAAAAATGCTTCTTCTAATTTCAACTATTAAAATATAACCATTATAATATTTCTTGTAAAATAAATTTAACTAATAAACTTACCTCTAGATGTTTTATACCTGCACTTTTAGCAGATTTATGAAGTTGACTAGAAACTGGTGTAATATGTTTATTTGAATTATAATTATTTAAATTTGCATTTGAATTCGATACAGATACATTTAATCCAACCAATGGACAACATATACGCAATGTTCTTTCATTAATAATATCTAATTTGTCTAAGTTACATTTAGTTGATGTAATAGACACAGTAGGTTCTCCCAATAATATATTCTTTTGCACATATTGTTTATCGAGTTGCTTCAAATTTCGTAATTCTTTAACTTTATATATTTCTTGCCAAGTAAGATAAAAATCTTTTGGAACATTTGGTAATTCAAATAACCAGCATAAAGTAGATTTAAGGAGAATTGCTGTTTGTTGAGAAATAAAACTATCAGATGTAGAAAAATCAAAATGATTTACAACTTTATAGATATAATATAAGAGTTCTAAAGTTTGTTTATAATATGGTAATCGAAGAGATACGGTATCCATCATAGCCAAATATTTTGCTATCCAAGGTACAGTTAAAGATAATTTTCCTGATGCTATTGCATTATGAAGACAAAGATGTAAATTTATTGCTGGTACAACCTAAATAAAAACTTAAACATTAGTTATATATAATGTAAAATCATAAAATATTAAAAATATATTATTTACTTTGGTTCTTATTTCCACTTGAGTTGCTATTAATTCTTTGAAATTATTTGATTCTGATCTGTAAGGTAATGATACAAGAAGACCTAATACTTTTGCAAGAAGTCTTAAACTACATAAGCATATAATAAAATTTTGCTGAGTTTGTTCATCAACTATTGTTTCTATTAAAAGAAAAAAATATATTTATATATTAATAATAATTAAAAATATAGCTATAATATCAGTATTGAATAAATATTAATACCTGAATCTTCTATTTCACTATTATTAAATTGAGTATCATTCAATTCCATTATCTCATGAATTAAACAATTTTCTAAATGAACATAAAAAATTGGATTAAAAGCAAACAATATAAAATCTTTGAAAAATTCTTGCACTCCAGGAAAAGATGGTTCAGTGACTTGATTTTTAGAAGGCTGGGGAGTTACTAATCGTTTCTGAAGCTGATTCAATTTTTTTGGATTTTCATGTTTCAAAGCTTTTAAAAAACTTATACTTTCATCATCTTCTATTTCTGTCTGAAAATCATAAAGATAAACTAAAAAGTTAGCAAATAAATAAAATATTATTTATAAGCAAACATATAA